TCCTCATTGCCCTCCCTTCCCCCCTCTCCCTCCCTTCCCCCCTCTCCCCTCCCTTCCCCTCCCTCTCTCTCTAACTCTCTAACCCCCCCCCCCCCCCCCCCGTGGCATGTGATACGGAGTGCCTGTGGTATATTTAGCTCCCTGACTCTCGTCTTTTGTATCCGGTACATTCACAGCGGCGACTTTTTGCGAGTCTTATCAGTTCGTGTCTTTCTCTTATTCTTTCTTTTCTCTCTTCTGTTTGTCCTTTTTTTCTCGTCTCTCTTCTCTATTCTCTGTTTTCTTTTTTCTTCTCTTTTTCGCTTTTCCATGTCTTGTTTGTGTTTTTTTTTTCCATTCCCCCCCCCCCCTCTCTCTCTCTCTCTCTCTCTCTCTCTCTCTCTCTCTCTCTCTCTCTCTCTCTCTCTCTCTCTCTCTCTCTCTCTCTCTCTCTCTCTTCCTTCCTTCCTTCCTTCCTTTGATATTGGATTCGTCCCTCCCATCGCTTCTTTCCTTCGCCTCCTCTTTCCTTCTCTCCTTTTCTCTACCTTTATCATTCGTTCCTTCTTCTCCTTCCCTTTTTTTAGTCGTTCTTGCACTCTTCCTCTTAAACGCACATTAAATCCTCTTTTTTCCCCCTTTTTCCCCTCGTTACCTCCCCCCCCCCCCGAAAAACCCTTCCTTGGGGATATTCTGCGGTCATTGTATTTGAGAGGTGGGGGAGGGGGGGAGGGGAGGGGGATTGTGGGGTGGGGAGGAAGATAGGAGGGGAGGGGAAGGGGAGGAGGTGGGGAGGGAGGGAGGGAGGGAGGGAGGGAGGGAGGGAGAGAGAGGGGAGGAAGGAAGGGGGAGGGGAGGAGGGGGCTGTTTGTGATGATACCTGGGGCCATAAAGGAAGTGAAGGTGCGTTTCGGTGGGCAATTTAGCCGACCCCCCCCCCCCCCGATCAAATCTTCTATCCCCCGTTCTCCCTTTCTTCTTCTCCTCCTCCTCCTCTTCCTTTTTTTCCTTCTCGTTCACACTCTCATTCTCATTATCCTCCTCCTCCTCCTCCTCCTCCTCCTCCTCCTCCTCCTCCTCCTCCTCCTCCTCCTCCTCCTCCTCCTCCTCCTTCTCCTCCTTCTCCTCCTTCTCCTCCTCCTCCTCCTCCTCCTTTTTCTCCTCCTTTTCCTCCTCCTCCTTCTCCTCCTCCTCATTTTCTCACTCTGTTAGGTCTCCAGTAACGGCAAAGGAAAGCAGAGGAAGAGAAAGGGTGAGGAAAACCGGGATTAACATGAAAGAACCAAAAGAATGAAGTGAAAGGAGGGAATGAGAGAGACACAGGCAGACAGACAGGCAGGCAGACAGGCCGAAAGACAAACAGACAGACAGGCCGAAAGACAAACAGACAGACAGGCCGAAAGACACAGACAGGCCGAAAGACAGACAGACAGACAGACCAAGAGGATGCGTCTTGGAGGCGCTCCGGTCCCTCCGACGCCGCCGCGACTGATCGGCCGCCCGTTTCCGCCCGATGCCGCTGGTGTGCCTCCGCTTGGGCGCCTGTGGCTGGTGACTTCAGAGGACTCGCTGTGGTTTGCCATGACGCCCTTGTGGCCAGGTTTGCTGCTTTTGTTAAGTCCTCGATTAATTTCGTTGTTTTGTCTTTTTTTTCTATTTCTAGGATTTTTTGCGGTGATATTAAAAGAAAATAAATAAATAAATGAATATAAAACGTTTGTAATGCGGTTGATTTTAGTTATGTGAAAAGTAATCGGTGAATCTTCTGTAATCTAGTGACTTACTAGGATTCCATAATGAACTTTTTCAGTTTTCGTCGGTGTTGGCTATCGGATCTGTGTGTTTGTTTGTTTATTTACTTACTTACTTACTTATGCACTAACCGATTTATTTATTTATTAAGGATTTTGCGCATGTCGGTGACAGCTTGAGAATTGGAGAATGACTGGATTTTCCTAATTCTGCGAGTCGCCGCGTCGCACCCGCACTCACACACGCAAAAATCCTGCATGAATATGGTGATGTATGTGCGTGCGCATTAAAAGAATTGGGAAATTAGGTAATTGTTTGATATTACAACAGTCACATCGCCGGTTGGTTCGCCATATGGTAGTAGTTTCGTCGGGCTGTCACGCTGCTGTTTGGATGGTGTGTGTAGTCCGCGTTTAAAAGGTGTAGGTCTGAGAGTTCAGATTTTCCCCATTGTGCGCCGCCTTTTGGGTCTGTTCATCTTTTACTTCGTTTCTGAATTTCTTGAAGCACAAGGACAATCGAACGACGTAGCGAGGGGGTCCGTGTGGCAGCTCGGCAGCATTCGAACAAGATTAAAAGTATTCATCCCGAGGCAAACTTTCATTCGCCGTGTATTCAGAGTAATCGCGTATTTAGGGAGAAACTCTGATATGGGAATCTGGGGGGAAGGAAACCATGCTTAGACTTATGACATAATTACAGCCTTTCTCCCGAACAAATACCCGACCGCTCCGCCGGCGACGCCACTTGGGGCGGCGTGATTAATAGG